ATATAACGAACGAGTACGCTCGCCCGCTCGCTCCTGACAGCAGCGCGTAGCGCCCGGCTTAACTCGCGAGTCGAACGCTGGCAATAAAGCCGAACTAATTCGAAACACGGTCGATCTGTTATTCGTCGTTTCGAATCAAAGAAGATTTCGTCGGAAATGTTTTAGGGACTCGAAACGAAACCGAATAACCGATCGAAATCATCTCGAATGGTATCGCGACGAAATTAGAAGTTAGCCGGGCTACCATTTTGAATTGCAAATCGTCACACGCCCGGCTCCTCGGCGGCGATCGACGGCTGTTAAACCTGTCGCTGCTTATTCAAAGCCGTTCTTCGCGGATACTTGAGAAAATGGAAATTCCGTGAAGTATCTTTTCTAGGTAAGTGTACCTCACCTCCTCCTCCTGGTTGGTAGCACGACGATAGTAAAACGCGTTTATTGCCGTGGAGAGAGTAAAGGATAGCGTAGGTTCTAACACTAAATTTAGCCTCGATACGTAATTGCCTTCTCGGCTGGCCGCCGTTGGAAAAAGTGATCCAGGAAGTGTGTGCAAGATCGTTGCCTCGGCGCAATGTTGCGCGCCTTTGAAAACGTTACCACGAGCATTGCTCGAATACCATCGTGTATACCGGTGATGCTGGCCTTTTGATCTTTCGATTTTGTCGATTGGATTTCTTTGCAACAAAATGTACCATTGTTCGTTTCGTCCGTTTCGTTTTGTTCTTGGGTGGCAATCACGAGGAAAGGACAATCGAGGCGATGAGAAGCGCGTTTTGATCGTACTCTAGAGTCGTTCAGTGCCGTCGACAGGTAGAGCAAGGCTATACAGCGAAGCGAAGTGAAGCGAAGGGAGGGAATCTCACGGCTGATGGCTGGCCGTGACTTTACTCAACTCAGCCGGCACTCGGGCCGGCGCAACGCGTCAATGTAGAACGGTCATTGACTCCTGGTGCCTCGGCTCGGCTCGACTCTCGGGCTCCGCGAGCCTCCTATATACGTGCAAGCTCGAGCCTTCCTCTTTCTCTGCGGAGACAGTCGTCGAGCGTGAACGCGCGCGCGCACTCCTGCTTCTGCGCGACGCGGACACCCGGTACGTGGCTCTACGTGCTTTGCCGTTCCTCGTGATACTTCGGCCTTCTTCGAGCGATCATCGAATCAGGCTAAAATTTTCGCCACGTTTATTTATTTCTCTTCTTTCTTTCAATCCCCGAAAATTCGTCATTGTTCAAGTGTCCAACTTCAGTGGACATTCCCTGTGTTGCTTACCTCGAGACCACCGAATAGCATCTATAAATACAGTCCGAAACTTTTCATTTCAAATACCAGAGATTCTGTTTATGTATTCTTTTCCGTATCTGTTAGTTGATACCAGCAAACTTTGGTAAATCTGACGCGTGTCGTTCCGAACAAAACAGAATGGTACGTTTAATGGGATAACAGAGCCTCGATGTAGGACGGTTATTGGCTCCTTGCGCTAGACTCACGGCCCCCTATCCGCGTACGTGTTCGTTCGCCATTCACACACACACACACACACACACACACACACACACACACCGGGGAGTTTCGTGCCGGCTCGAAATCAGCCACCCGGTACGTGGAACGCCCGTACCTCCTTAGGAGCAGCCGTGATACTTCAGGCTTTTTCGGTGCACCGAGCACGGTCAGAAAGTTACGATAATTTTGTTTCTCTCTGTCTTTCTCCTTCGCCCGATATCTGGCTCGTTTCGCGTACAACACAATCTTTCGGTGGGAAACGATAAAACGGCCGCATCGGGATGAACACGTACCGAGCGAGACGATATAAACTTGCTACGTGTCCCCTCGTGTGTTAATGGCGTTTCCCCGCGGAACGTGGACGTGTTTATTCGTTCGTGTCTTTTCTTCCATTTTTGTTGTTGTCATTTTTCCTTTTATTTCGTTCTTTTCGTCGTTTGACCTTGGAATCCGGCGAACCAGGAATTTTACGATATTTTTATGGAAGAGTTACGCCGCCGCGGCCGCAGAGCCGCGAATTTTATCGCGGGGAATTCTTGCCAGGTAGAACAGGGTAAGTGAGAATGAGGAAGTGAGTATAATGGCCTTTATAGCGGGGCGCATCGACGCGGACGGTGGTTCGCGCAGGCTCGCTTTTAACCGGTCCTACGCGCCTCTCTCGATAATAATAACGACGGACAACGATAAAAATAATGACGCTGATAATTACGATACGTACACCCGGCCGTTTGACAACGATACGGCGTCTAATTAATCTTGTCCTCGTCGAGATAAAATTTTCGGGGAGGTTTAAGGTGGTGTTAAAAACATTTTTTTTTTTCGTTCACGATAATGCGAAAGACGAACTCGCCGTAGCGTCTGTCGATCTTTTTGCTGGCTGTAGCGTTCGTAGTTTGTCTAACCGCCGTAGTCTTCACAATCGAGGTTATGGTACCATGCGATACATCGAGGTCTAGCGCCTGTACGTAGCGAAAAATTCAGGACAGGTTTCTTTTTCTTTTTTTCTTTTTTTTTATTAGTCGACCGATGCATAATATTCGCACGATTATTCCAGATCGAATCGTTACGGGTGAGAGTGAATCAATATTTATTTGAAGGTTAATTTTTAAAACGTCTCGATCCGCGTGACAATTACAGAGAGGAGCGGACTGTACGAAACGGGACACCGTGTATATACCGGACGGTCATCGTTACGGTAGCGCGTAATACTTTACGGTTCGGCGTATGTATTATCGCGGAATCGCAGGACAGGCGCAATTTTTGCATGGAAAATGGCGCTACGGTACTTTCAGCCTCGCCGCTCGCCCGCGGCGAACGAATCTAGGCTAGGCCTACGAACGACACGGTCATCGACCACCCTTGATTCCTTTTTTTTCTTTTTTTTTTCAAAGACGGAGAAAGCGACGCTACTTCTGCCACGTACTAATTAGATTATGACAGGATCGAGGAATTTATTGATTTCTAATCTAATACTTTTCGAAATTAGAGAATCAATGATGCAATTCCAATACAGTCGTATTTCTGTGATCCAAACGGTGTTCGAGAGAATTCGAGTTTAAATGTAAGAACAGGTTTTTGCCCGATATTTATCTCTACACGTTAATGCTATGTCTTTCTGTCTTCCCTCTCTACCGTTAAAGACCATAAAACAATATAATTTACAATTGAAGTTCAAGGAAAAGTTGTTCCGTTTCTTTTCTTTTAATTTTCGTAAAAGAATGTATCATCAACGCAGATGCGGCACGAATCAAGGGCACCGGCGTAAAAATCGTTCGACCGTTCGGCGGTCACCTGGACAATCCACTCGCCCCGATCCGTTCGTCTTTCTTGACCGCGGAAACGTGCCGACCCCGTCGACGAGTGGCCCGTTTGAAAAGTGCAACGACCGTTCCAATAAATCGACCGCCCCCGTGTCCCCCACCCCGAAATCATTACATACACGCGAGTTCGAAATGACCGTGGCTACGAGCCCGCGGTCTGCGGATCCCGTTATGTCACATTAGTAGGCACCTGCAGGCGTCATTATCCTCTCCCGCGGCGTGCCATTCTCAAAATCGAAAACCGCTCGTTCTGTGAACCCGACAGAAATCGATTCTCCTCGCATCGTTTGCGGCTCGTTTCGACTATACACTTCGATGCTCGTGATCGTTCAGCATCGAATTAAACGCGATCCTCGTGGTTTTATCGTACGAACCTCTGTGGATTTCGTTAACCTCGATTATAGTTTCGAAAGAAAATCAGAGGTCAACCAGAAAAAGTCTTCTCGTACGATTTTCTTTTCTCGCCGCGTTTTCCTTCGGAACGCCTCCCTTCTTTGTGATCACGATGTTTCGTTCATCTCGGGGAGGGGTTACAGGTATAAAAAAAAAGAAACGGAAACTCGTTGTATTCTCGAGGAATCTTCTTCGAGATTTTCGAATGGACGAACAGCGGTGGAGGGGGGACCAACGGTGCACCGTTATGTCATATTAGGAAATACGCGCGTTTAACGGTGATTCTCTGTAGAGGATTCGCTGTTTGGATGCTTCGAAATTGCTTCGATCAGTTAACAACGATTCGATAATAACCGTAGAAACAATCGACGAATTTACACCTGCGTGTTTCGTTGTTTCTGTATCGTGAGACGTGTATGTTTCGAGATTCGGGAAAGAAATCGACGCGCAGTTGGCTCAGCGATCCGTTCGCGGAACCGATACGTCGCTGCTCGTGAATAATCCATAGAGATTGATAGGGCACGATGAATCGCGAGCAATGCACTCGAGGAAAAAAAACCGATTGCGTTATTGCTTTTACCGTTCTCTTCTTTTTTTCAGGCTTTAACTTTGGTCCCGGTACCGTTAGGGACAAGGCTTTCAAAGAGCGTGAAGAAACACTTTCTGTATTCGAAGAGCACCTTCTCTGACGTAACGCCGCGCGCACCAAAGGGTCTCGAACGTTTGAAGTAACATCTATCTGTATTATATTCTCGTTCTTTCTGTTCGCTGTCATTCCGATTAACCCTCCGGACCGAATTCTCTTTCGACGGTTCAATAAATTTGAATTCTCTTGTTCCGCATTATTTCCCCCATTTTTTGTCTACTCGAAACGTGAACTATATGATTTTCTAACTCGCCCGTTTTAAAGGAAAGATTCGACGGTACGGTGTTCACCGTTAACGAAAGTTTCCCTGGAACCGAACTTTCCTCGCAGCAGTTTTGCGCCGTTTGCTATCGAAACTATGTCAGGTCACCGAGTATTTTCCGGAACACTCCAGAATGCTATCGGTTCCTTTCGAGATAATTAACAAAATACGCGTATTTTTCTAACGGTAAACTATAATATATGATGTATATTACACGTTCTTTTTTTCGACTATGTGACTGTTATTACCGGAATTGGAAAGTACGTCGACCGTACGTTAAACGTGGACGTCGCCTATACGTTGATCATTGATTTCTTTGGATATCGTTACGACACTATAATTGAATTACTTCTAAAAAAAATCCATAAATAACATCACTCACCTAAGTCGATTCCCTGGAAGCCGGCGAATCCTGTCACGACCACGACAAACTGTCAAAGTTCACAAGCCGAAGTCACTGACATATCTTCAGCCCCCGATACGGTCTTACCACGATCCACACACGGCTACGGTTCATACATCCGCGAACCGACTGAATGTCATCGAATGGAACTACAAAACGATCAAGTTCGAAGCAAGTTCCACCGTGGAGGGCACTGAACGTCGTTTCCTGTTCTCCTGTCTCTCTGGGTCCCGGGACGGTGGAACCTCGCGGAAACGAAGAAGTGATTTCCACGGGAAGAAAGTTCAACGCGACCAAACTCGGCTGAAGAAGATCAACGGAAACGTTGTCCCCACAATTCAAACGACGTCCGATCTTTGGTTGTTGTTCCTCGGTCACTGTACTCGTCTCGGCACACTGTCTTTTTCTCGCTGAATATCGTTCGAGGAAGTCCCGTCCACAGGGAAGAACAAAACCAGAAGTGGACAGCAACGATATCGGTAATCACGCGCGGTTAGGACCTCACTGTTCGGGCGAACGGCGCGAAGCGGAGAGGATTGCCTCGTCCTTGACGTACGGTCGTGTACACCGTCCGTGCGAAGCCGCGTGGTTCGAACTGACGAGCACGGCGGGTAAGGTGAGTCTAGGTGTCTCCTTGTGTACGAACCCGCGGTGTGCGCGCGTGTACGCACTAAACGTAACCACGTTACACCGTGGTGCGTTCGTGTGCGTCGACTGGAGGACTGGTGGAGGGCGAGGAAGGAAGAGGAGGCCCCGGCTGGGCTCTCCTCCGCTTTGCTCGGCTCGACGAGTCTCTCTCTCTCTCTGTCTTCCTTTATCCTCACTTGCTGCTTCTTCTGCTCTTCCCTTCTCTTCTATCTGGTCTTCTCCTTCCTGTTACCTGGATGGCCCCTACGTTCGACTCTGTCCTTCTTGGCGGGTTTCGAACGCGAGTACACACCGGGAACCAAAGCTCCTTCCTCCTCGATCCCCTCGTTCCTTCTTCCTTCGACTTGACTTCTTTCCTCGTTCTCTCCTTTCTTTCCTTCCCGCCCGAACTAACTATACTCCTCGGCTCGTTCCTCGACAGTGCAGGAGGACGACGATGTTGCAGCCGCCACTCGCCGGTACGTTTCGTTCGGTTCGGTTCGGTTCGGTTCAGTATTCCCCATCGACAGAAGCAACGGTACTCTTCCCCACCCCCTTTGCTCGCGCTCGACTTCGAGTTCTCCTCTTGCGAGAACGCTACCGCCTTCTCCTCCTCCTCTTCTCCTTCTCTACTTTTCTACACACCCGGTGTGTGTGTTCCCTCTTCTTCTCTGTTCGACCACCGAACCCACCGGGTCTCTCTTTTCTCCTCCCTTTCCCTCGGGCTCCCGCTCTTTCTCACTGTTTTTCTCCGAGCGTGCGCTCGCGTGTTCCCTCGTACGTACACGCGGCGACTCGCTCGCGTGTAGGGCCCCGCTTCTTCCGTCTCCCTCTCGAAGCTCGCCTCTACGACCGTGTCTTCCTTTTCTACTGGTTACTGACCTCCGAAAATACGAGTCGAAGAACCGAGTCGTAGATCTTTTTGGACCCTCGAAGGTCTTCCCCGTCCCCAGCACTCGAGATGCTAACGACGATCTAGGTGAGAATCTCGTGGAGAAGGATGTATTTTTCCACAGTCTGTCGTTGAATTCCTCCTTTTTTTTTTTTTTTTTTTTTTTTTTTTTTGATTGGACCGTTGGGAGCTAGGAAATATCAGACGAAAGGTTCGTCGAGGAGTTAGACATTCCTCTGGAATGAGACCCCTCCCTCCATGGGGGTCACCTGTTCTTCTCTCTTTCACTTTTTAATCGCGTCCCAAAGTCCTCACGGAGGCCGAGCGTGAAAACTCAAACATCATCCGAAACCGAAAGAAGATGCTCGACCGAAGGTATCGAGTCACGCAAGAAGAACCAATTTTTTTTTTTGGTCAAAACGATGCACATCGAGGGGATCAGGCGGCGAGCAATTATATAATTTTAATCGGCGCATCGTTTTTACAAGCCACCGACTCTCTTCCGTGTTTCTTGCCACTGGTTACTGACCTTCGGAAATCCGAGCTATCCGGCCGGGCACTCGATTTCTTTTCGTGTTTCTTCGGCTTCGTTCTTAACGGCCGAGAAGCGACGACGGGGAATCTGGTGTCGATGACGACCGGGAAAAACTCGCGGATCGATTTCGCGCCTTCCTTTCCTCGCTGCTACGATAATTATCAACGGCGAGGGGAGAGGAACATGGCTACCGTTAGGAGCCTCGATATCTCGCTGTTGCTAGAGCAACCGCATTACATTATCCGCTGTGTGAATATCCGATTAATTTCGTTAAACATGTCTAACATAAATGAAACGTTAATAGGTAGCGTTACAAAATAAAAAAAAAAAAGTGAATTTGTAAAGCGTTAGGAAATCAATGTTTACGAGAGGATAAACTTCATCGATTAACCCTCATCAGTCCCTCGTGTCAATTTGACACATTTTACAAAAAGGTAAAAAAAAAATTTAACTGTTCATCTCTTCGTTATATTAATTTTTCACCACTGTGTCAATTTAACACCGAGGAATAAATTAAATTCGGAAAACGAGGGACAGATGATTGTTAATTATATTAGTTTGTTGATTCATGTTTCAAGGGTTGTACGAAAAGGCGACATTTTGTTAATTAAGATAATTCCGTAGCAAGAAGGCACGAAGAGACTTCGTATCGAAGACCGCAGAGGTATCGTCGGCGGTGTAGCGAGCGTTCACCGTGAACCGCCTGTTGCGGGCGTTAAAGTCTCCGTAGATCTCCCGAGTCTCCGGGCGAGATATACGATGCTCTCTCGGCGACCGTGTCGATTCAGCGTGCTTTAAGTCGTTGCGTAAGAGGTCCTTGGTCCAATAATACGTTTCGCGCGCGCGACACATCGGTGTCCCCGTGAATACGCAAATCGTGAATTTGAAAGTCGATCGAAAGTAACGCGATACGGCCTCCCACTGGGGATATCTGGTCCGTGAATGAATTGTTATTTTCCCGATCGTATCGAAATCGCGACCGTTCGAGGATCGATTCGCGACGCGGCGGAATGGCGTGAAATCGTGAAAGAAGGATACGACGCGAGTACAGGAAATCACGGGCGATAACGAAGAACGATAGGATACGGCTACTTTTACATAATACACGCGACGGTGGTAAAACAATCCTCGGAAATCGATCGACCGTGTCCTGTCGAATTACTCGCGTTTGCCAGGACGACGATGGCGGGCTTATTCAGGAATGTTCTATCCCGCCACACGAACCGTCTTTCTATGCATCTTGTCGCGATTAAAATGCAAGGTGTTAGAACTAGCGGGGGAGGAAGTGGGGAGGAAGAGGAGGCGAACGACGACGCGAGAGAAGCGACGACGTAGGATTGTCCGCGAGATACAGTCGACGCGTTTAAATATACATACAGCCGTCGTTAGGGCCTTGCACCAAGATCGTCGATCAAGATATTTGATCCTCGAACGTGCAACGGCGCTCCGAGGAAATCTGCCATTGTTATTGTCTGGCTTCCGTCTGTATCGTAAATTTTTATTTTACCGGAAAATCGTCTTCCACTCATCGTCTGGGATAGAGGAAAGGGAAACTGGATTCTCGGCGATGCGAGAACACGAAAGAAAACTGAAACGTCCGGATTTGCTTTTCTACGTTCCGGCTAGGGGAAAAAAAATTCATAGATAGTCTCTCTTGAGAAGGAGAAGAACGCGATCGGCCGTACAGCGCGGAGCGGGTAACCGGAACGGAACGGAGCGGAGCCGAGCGTTCGCCGAGTGGTTACTGACCTCCAGCATCGAGCACTCTTACGCTTGCACTACTTAGCTAGCTCGTCGTTACAACCGCGAAGCTTGCCTATCGCCGCGCGAGAACACCGGTCTCTGCGACCGATCACGGAAAATCGCCACTTTTCTCGGCCGTGTGTACACCTTTCGGCGCGTTACGGCGTTACCTTTACCTTCACCTTGCGCACCACCCCGCTGCCTCTCCTCACCGCCGTTTCCGCTCGACCAGACGACGGAAGGCCAATAGCGCGTTTCGCAGCGTCTACCGGAAGTGCGTCCGCGCGATCTGTGTCATAGACAGCCGGTGTCGAGAGAACGTTAGTTCTTGCCATCACTCGTCTGCAACGTTTTTTCGCCTGTACACGGTCCCATTTATATTTCAGACGCGTGTCAATCGTAATCGATTCTTCTCCGAACCTTCGATTATCGATACGTACCCTTGTTATTGAAATAAGTCTTTCGATTTATCGAAGAGAAGTGATTCATGAAAATTCGAAAGTAAACGAAGGAATCGTACGAAAATATACGGGCGCATCGATCATCGACCTTTCGATACGCCAGCGGAAGATCAAATTGAAATCACGTTCGGAGGAAAAATCGCCGATTTCCCCGCGGCTACTCTTGATTGTGGCTCGGGGAAGCGCAAAGTATGACACGACCGGCGAGAGATGTCCGCGGCGAGTTCGTTAACCCCTGAAAATACTCTCTTGCGTCGTGGTTGCGTGCTCCGTGCACTGGGATGCACTAGTTTACTTCTTTCCGCGGCGTGGTGGAGGTGGTTTTGTCCTGGCGACGGCGGTGGTGCACGTACGTGCACGGCCGACGACGACGCGCAAGTCTTCACCGGTAGTTCGCATTAGAAACTTCACCTACATCGCGAACGGATCGCGAAAGGTCTGTGTCCTCTCGCCTTTTATCGTTCCTTCGAACGATGATTTCTGTTTACGATTGGACGATGGGGTCATGCTTGAAATTATCGGTCAGAAAAACTGCTTATTGCCTGTTTCCGGTGAATGCAAATGAACCGTGTTGAAGACTAACTGCAATACAGTTCTATTTCAATGATAACAATAATAAAACAGCTTGGGATTTAGTAGAAGTAATTAATACTCGTAATATATAAATAACCGAACAGTAACCATCTTTTTGTTCATTTTCATAGACTTCCGGCAGCTACCCGAAAAACACATGTCTGTTTTTTTCCCGAACGTTCCACAGAAAAAGAGAAAGTTTTCGTTTGACCATGTGGAATGATGGCGATTTGTATATCTTCGAAACCACTCTGAACCTTCGCCGTACAGACGTTAT